CCCCGCCCACACACACGCCCATGTTTTGCTCACAACTCAGTGCTGTTTTCCAGCTGTCTGAGGCTACCTCTAATGAATGCATCAGGCAAATTAAGCTAATCATGTATAAATAGCTCTACTTAGCCACTGGACTCACAAAACCCATCCCAATAATTTGTTAAAAGTATACATATAATGTGCTTCTAATTGTACTTATTTAGGAAAGTATAGCTAGATTTCCTATTTTATAGCTTGTCCTTTGTGGGAATCATTAAGAATATTTTGCCTACAGCTGTGAAACTTACGTTTCTTGATATTTTGGAAAGAGCTTGTTGAGGATGCATCCAATTCAACAGTCACATTACTTATTTTGGGTTGCAGTTACATACTTACCTGAGAGTAGGGCCCATCTAGGACAGTTGTATTTACTACTAAGAAACATTAATACCACTACCCACATCTAATAGATAACATATTGCTTCATATGACAGATTCCTTTTATCATTTAGTATGCACTCCATATACCATCTCCTTAAAAAATATGCAAAATATTCTGTAAGCATGCATTTGTTTCACACAGACCTTAATTTCTTCCCCTCTGATAACAAGGCAGTAAAATGCAATGGCATTTTCAGCAACAAACCTCCCATACTACTCATCCTTCTATTCTGGAAATAAATCCAATCCTACACCTCTCAAAAGTGGATTCTGCTACTTCTATTCTGCTACAATTCTGTGCCTCTTTCATCTCAGAGCAAGCTCATTGAAATAAATGCAATATTTGTGGCTGGTCCATTTCTTAAACCAGGCTGTGTTTTCAGCATGGACTGAAGCTAAAATACAGGTATCTATTCAAAAGTTTTAGACTAGGGCAGGGCTAATCTATCTGTGGCTAAAGACAAGATCTACAGATTAAAGTATGCACCTTCTATATTTGCTATATTTGGGTTGGATTCTTACTCCCAAAGGGTCTAGGCTTCTGAGCGTATTTATTCCTAAGCAGATCATATGATTCTTGCTATTAATGTTATGTTTATATTATTATAATGTATTATATTATTTGGGCTTCCTAAGCAGCCCAGAAGAATAAAAATAATTTTCAATACCAAAATTAAATAAACCATCATCAAGAAAATTATTAACCCTAAAACAACAACAATGAAAAAATAATGAAACAGAAGTTTTATAATGCACATTGCCCAAATTAAAGCCCCTTGTGGCTTGTATGGTTTATGTACCTTTTTCTAATATTCACCATATGAAAGGTATTGAAACTATGGTCCCATTGCTGGAAGAAGACGGTGAGAGAGTAACAGACAGTGAAATGATGGGGAAATGGACCTAAGCAGAACAACTGAAAATAGAGGACGTGCCATCCTAAGGTAACTGAAAAAATAGTTAGGAAGCACCTAATTATCAGACTAATAACATCCAAGACTCTTTTAAGGGGCTTGTGAATGTCCTCTTGGAGCTCCTTTCCATGATTTTGAGAAATCATGGACATAGTGCCAGAAGACTGCAGATGGGGGAAAGTTTTTCCTATCTTCAAAAGGGGATTAGACATCAATACTGGCCAAAACTCCAGAGTAGTCATATTTTGCATGGTAGAAGCCAGTACAGGCTCAGGGAAAGGACAGTGATGGCCAGCCATATAAATTGACTAAAAAAATAAATGAGATTTAGGATGATCTTGACAAGCTAGGACAATGAACTTAACCAATAAGATGAATTTCAGCAGGGAGAACTGCAAAGTTCTACATTTGAGTAAGAAAAATCAAAGGCATAATATAAAATGGAGGGGAGCATACTGGGCAGCAGCACATGTGAAAAAAGATTTCACATATTCTGTGTAAAAGAATAAATGGACATGATATCACAGTTTGGAACAATCACAAGACAGTAGAACAACATTTCAATCACCCAAAACACTCCATCGCTGACCTCAAGGTAACACTGATGAAAGAGAAAAATTTCACCACCACTATATAACAAGAGACAAACATGCATTAAAAAATTCCAATCCAATTCAGAAGGCTTGAACTGGGACAATGGCTTCGTAGCCTGTAACATTTGCTTAACTGATCTCACCATGTTTTTCCCATCCCTTCTCCCTCTTCCATATACTGTATTTAAAGTCCTATAGTAGCAAACTCTATACATCTAATAATAAAGTTGGTTAGTTTTGAATATGCTACTATATTGTGTATTTACTTAAATGCAATACCAAGCAGTATCAACAGAGATGTAGTGTTAAGATTTTTTAAAAAGTAATAATTCCTCTGTATTTTGTGTTGTTCAGAATCTAGAATTTTGTCCAGTTCTGGGCACTGCATTTTAGAAAGAGCATTGACAAACTAGAGCATGTCCAGAGAGGAGCAACCAAGATAATAAGAGGCTTAGAAGGAATAACGTCTAAGGAGTTCCTTAGGAAGGAAGGTTGGAGACACTGGTATGTTTAGCCTGGAGAAGAGAGAACTGCATGAATACATGACGGTTATTTTCAAGAATCAGAAAGATGAAGAAGATGGGGCAGAATTGTTCAGATTTGTTCAGAGTTATTCCAGTTATTCCAGAAGCAGTCAGTTTAAATTGCAAGGAACCAGATTTTGATTTTGGTTGGACCTGAGGAAAAAATTCCTAACAGAAAGAGTGGTAGAACAGACTGTCTCAGGAAGTGGTGGACTCTCCACTGGACGTGTTTATACAGAGTCTGGATGGCCACCTTCACAGAATGCTGAAGTGGCAGATTCCTGCACTGGGTAGGGGGTTGGGCTAAGATCCCTTCCAACCTTTACATTCTGCGATTCGACATTTAGAAATTATATGTGTTTGGATTTCTGCTATTTTGCAGAATAGCGATCCCATACTTGCATTTGTTTTCCTTTTGATTTGTAAGAGCTTAACCTGGACTCCCCGTGCTCAGAAATGCCTTTTTTAGAAATAGACTAATGGGAAATCTCCACATACCCCTGTGAATTCACTGGCCTAAATAAAACTTGTAATATTACCTAACATGCTCTGTTCATGTAAAAAGGTTCACACAAATAAAGTAATCTTTCTGTTCTTGGCAGCTTGCATGGGTATGCAACACCACCCATCTGTCAGATGCCTAGAGCCCGGAAGCCACAGGTCTCCAAAGGTCTCTGGGCTCTGGACTAGCATAAATACTATGTCATAATATATTTAGTAAATGATAACACAAGCCACACAAAGATATACCAAATGGGTTAGAAAGAGGACTAACTGGGCCTTGAGATAGAAAGTTATTGAATATGAGAACTTGTAAAGCTGAGTCAGAGAGAAAGGCTTGAGGAAAACCCTAGAAGTATCACTAGAAGGGCACAACTGTTTCCATTAGCTTTTTGGCAAATTTTCAACAGTGGCATAGATTTTGGAATCACTCCCATTGCAACAGTTGTTCTCCTTTCTTCTGCAAACACAGGAGCCTATGGGGGGAGGGCAGCACACAAAATTATTTCTCCATGGGAGATTCAGTGCCCTACACAGAGTGAAATAAATGCCAGCTGACTTTCTGAACACAGAGAATGTCATCAGGAACCACAGCAAGCCAGTGTGGCTAATGTCCAAAACTGAACAACCTTACAGAAATATGCCATCCTTGCAGCCTTGAATGTTGAGTCCCTTTTATACCATCGCCCCAATAAGGAACTGAGGTTTTCCTGTGCATGTATGATGGTACTTTTGGCATCAAGTGAAGACCTTTTTATAAAACTTCACATTATTTTATTGCTAATTTAATTATTGTCATTTTATTACATATTTATCTTAATTATTATCTTAATAATTACCTTAATTATTCCATTCCCTATATTGATTTCATACTGATTTATTTTACACTGCCATGACTGGGAGGTTTACAAGCAAAATAAATATACATATAAAAACACATTCTAGCTCAATTTTATGACAACTGGCAACAGCTTTCTCAGATTTTAGATAAGGGTCTTTATCGTTCCTCCAGGAGATGCCAGGGAATAAACATGGGAACTTTTATATGCAAAGTAAGTGTCCTACCACTAAAGATCATCTCTACTATGATCTTTCATGAAGATGCATAAGAGAAAGAGGAAGAAAGAGACAAGACTTTGTAATATTAATCTAGAATTGTCAGTTCCACATAGGAATGCTGACATTCAGCAAAGTTGAATTTGTGTGGAAGAGAGAGAGAAGAAAGTCAATAATTTTCACACATGAGTTCCAACAGTGGATATAATAATCCTAATTAAACATGTGGCAGATTCACAAGATTCCA